AGTCACTTAACCTCTCTGACTTTCAGTTTCCTCATCTATAAAGTGTGGGTAACAATAATTACACTAGGGGAGAGAAGGAAATAAGCCCATAATATGCCAGATATTTTGCTAAATGCTTTACAAATATTATCTTTTTTTTGGATCCTCACAACAGCCCTGTGAGATAGGTGCTATTATTATCCCCATTTTACAGTTGTGGAAACAGGTAGGCAGAGATTAAGTGACTTGCCTAGGGCCACACAGCTAGTAAGTGCTTGAGGTCAGATTTGAACTTGCCTCTTCCTGATTTTAGGCCCAGTGCTCTATCTACTATACTACCTAGCTGCTTTCTTCACTACCAAACTCACAGGTTTGTTGTGAGGAAAGTGTTTTGTAAACCTCATGGTATTATAGAAAAATGTAAGCTATTATTCTATGTCTTCATCCAAGTTGTTGATTTGAAAAAAATAAGTTCAAAATCATAGGACTGAAACCTGATCTACTCCTTTAGAGACCTCCTTCTAAGCTGGCATTGATCCATTAGATGAGTCATCTAGTGCAATCCTCTCATTTTTCAGATGAGGAAACTGAAGCCCATGAGGTTAAATGACTTGATCGAGATCACACAGACAGTAAGTGGCACGGCAGATTTGAACCTCAGGCCTTTGACTCCAAATCCAGGACTATTTCCACTAGAACAGCCTCCTAATGATTACTCTTTGAGTTTGGTTGTTCAACCAACACCCCAAGAGCAAGATATCACCAAGGCTCAGTAACTTCGTCTTTTATTAGCAGGTTCTATTGCCCCTTTGTGTTCTCCCCATGCTGTTCCCAAAGTGATCTTTTGAAGGCATAGGTATAACCACATCAGCATAGCCAGGTGGCACAGTGCCAGGCTGGGAATAAGGAAAACTCATTATCATGAATGAAAATCCAGCCTCAGACACTTATGAGTAACCCTGGGCAAGTCAATTAACCCTGTTTGCCTCAGTTTCCTCATCTGTAAAATGAGCTAGAGAAAGAAATGCCAAACTACTCCAGTATCTTTACCAAGAAAACTCCAAATGGGATCATGGAAAGTCAGACACAACTGAAATGACTCAAAAACAGCATGACCACATCATTTTTCTATTCAATAAATTCCATTGATTCCTTATTTATTCTGGGGTCAAACACAAATTCCTCCGTTTAGTACTTTAGTAATTCCTCTGTTTAGTCCTTTCTAATCTGGCTCTGACCTGCTTTTTCTAGTATTAATATACATTATTACCCATCCCACACGCTATGGTCCACCAAATTGGTTTTCTTGCTGTTCCTTACACAGGATACTACATTTTTTATCTCCATATTATTGTAGGGGCTGGACATTCCATGCCTGGATGCACAGAATTGGTTGTTGTCCTTTGTTCTCAAAGAGGACCAAAATGACATCACTATTCTAGAATGATGTTACAGTGTGATCGACTGTGGCTGATCAGCCCAAAAGAAGCTTGGCATGTTCTACCACAGATCTGACACAAATAACCCATGTGAATGTTTGGGTGGATTCTCTAAATTTGTGCATCTAGCATTACTTTTGACCTTACACATTAAGCTTTTCTAGAGCCCTTCCCTCCAATTATCTTGTGTTTCTTTTGTATATTTCTTGTAGATACTTATATATGTGTGTGTGTTTTCCTCTAATAGAATATAAGATCCTTGAGGGCAGGAGTTATTTAATTTTTGTCTAAGTTTCATAGATTGGTAGGTAGGTGATACAGTGGGTAAAGTGTTAGGCTTGTAGTCAGAAAGACTTGAGCTCAAATCTGGCTTCGGACATTTATTAGCTGTGTGACTATAGGCAATTAACTTAACCTTTGTCGCTTCAGTTTCCTCATCTATAAAATGGGAATAATAATAGCACCTATCTCCCAGGGTTGTTATGAGGATAAAATGAGATAATATCTGTAAAGCAAACCTTAAAGTGTTATATAAATGCTACTTATCATTATTAATTACTATTATCGTTATGATCATACCTAGGGTCTAGCACAACACTTTGCACATAGGAGACCCTTAATAAGTGTTTACTGATTGGCTGATTCATGACTTACATTCAAGTCATTCTTAACTGAATACTACATTTCCTCTTCACCAGGATACAGAGAGTTTTTACTTGGTCCCCATCCCTGTGTACCCGAGTACCACCGTGGGATAGTGGATCCCTGGATTTGGAGTCAAAAAGACCTGGATTCAAATCCCACCTCAGATACTAGCTCTCTGGGTAAGTCACTAATTCCCTCTCAGACTCAGTTTCCTCACCTATAAATATCAGGGATGATAACAGCACCTACCTCACAGAGTTATCATGAGACTGCAATGAGATTATGTATGTGTGTATGTATATGTATGTAAAGTTCTTTGCGGACCTATAAATGCTAGCTATTATGAGTTAAAAACAAGTTAGAAGGAAAAAGGAAGTGACTATACATAGGGATATAGGTACCTGAGGTAGGAATACTTGCTCCAGAGGATCATGTTAGATGGGGATGGATTTTTTTGCCCAGTGGTACTGAAATTAGAGGGCAGCTAGGTGTTACGGTAGATAGAGTACTGGGTCTGAAGTCAGGAAGACTCCTCTTCCCAAGTTCAAATCCAGCTCCAGGCACTTAGTAGCTGTGTGACCCTGGGAAGTCACTTTACCCTCAGTTTCCTTATCTGTTAAATGAGCTGGAGAAGGAAATGGCAAACCACTCCAGTATCTTTGCCAAGAAAACCCCAACTGGGGTCACAAAGAGTCAGATACTACTGAATAACAGCTAAGATTAGGGGAAGGGAACAATAACACTCGTTATGTGTCAGGCTCTATGCTAAGCACTTTATAATCATTATCTCATTTGAACCTCACAACAACCCTAAAGAGTAGGTGCTATTGTGATCCCTATTTAATAATTAAGGAAACTAAGCCACACAAATGTCAGAGGCTGGGATTTGAACTCAGGTTTTCCTGACCCCAGCACTCTATCCACTGTGCTATACAGCTGCCTCCATACCATGTATGAGTCTCTATTTGACTGAGAAAGTGGGTTAAAAAATATGACTTTGTTCTCCCTGGCCAAGATGACTTAGGACTAACGTCATGGCATATTGGAAAACACCTGGGGGTCAAAGTCAGGACAATGGGAGCCAGGCCATCTTTAACCTTCTTCTTTAACCTGGGTCAAGCTATTGGGCCTCAATTCCCCCATCTGTAAAATGAGAAGGCTAGATAAGGTCCCTTTCATCCCTAAATCTATAGTCCTTTCAAGGGGAACTCATTATCTCCTGGGATATCCCATGATATTTTGTGGCAGCTCTAATTGTCAGGAAGTTTTTCTCAACACTGAGCCAAATTTTCCTTGTTATTACTTTCTCCCACTGTTCCTCCTGTGGCCCTCTATGGTCAAACAGGACAAGTCTCACCCTTCTTTACCTGGAGAACCCTTCAAATATTTGAATAAAGCTAGGACATCTCCCCTTCCCCTAACTCTTCTCTTCTCCAGGCTGAAGTGCCCTGGTCCTTCCAAGCAATCCTTCACTAACACGGCTTCAGGGGATTCTGAGGATAGCAGAGGGACTGAGAAGAAGGCCTTCCAGAACCTCCTAGTATCTCCTGCTCTCAGACTCTCATGATCAACCATGACTGCTCCAGGTGTCTGGAGGGAGAAGGGGACACATGTTTGCAGAATAAAGTGGGTCACAGGGTAGACAAGTGAAGCCCATTGTGTAGAGATGGCCCATTCGTGAATCACTGAAGAGGAAAAATTGAAATTCTGGCCCCAGATCCCTTCTGACAGTTAAAGACACCAGCTGGTTCTGCATGAGACTGTAAACAAATTTGCTGAGCGAGGAGACTCCTAACTCACTGGGCATGAGGTCACCTGAAGTGGAGGTTCAGAATTTCCATAGGGGCTTTGTCCTATTATCTTTTCAAGGGGGAGAAATGAAACCACACAGTTTGCCGCAGACTTTCTTATGCCATGATAGGTATCAAATGGGAAAGTGACAAATATCTCTAGAAGCATGGTGTTACTCAAAGGGAAGGGCTTTGCTACATATAGATCAGTGGGACCATTTAAAACTGGGGGGAAATCATACTAGGCCCCAATTCCTCTCCACTCCTTCCTGCCTTGATGAGACCACTGGGGGAAGCTGAAAGGACAAAATGAATAAATCATCTGCAGGTAGTGTCAGCCAAGGGTTAAGCCTTGGTACTCAGATCCACAGCTCCTTTGCAGGGCCTAAGCTGGAATTGTCAAACCTGGTGGCTCTATCTAGGTTGGTCAGAGCTCATATAGAAGGATGATAGATTTAAAGCTGGACCTTAGAGGTAGAGTACTACCCTCCTCCCCCATTTTACAGATGAGGAAAGTGAGGCTCAGAGGTTAAGTGACTTTCTCAGAGTCACACTGCTAGTAAATGTCTGAGACAGGATTCAAACCTCTATCTTCCTGACTCAAGTCCAGGACTCTTAATCTACCGTACCATGTTGCTGTTAAAGTGTGCAAAAGAGTTTCTTCAGACCAATTCTGTGAGGTAGGTCCTGCAGGACTGAGTTTCCTGATTTTTCAGATTGGGAAATTGAGGTTGAGAAAAGCAAAGTGAGGATGCTCCAGTGGAAACAGTGCTGGATTTGACCTTGGGAGATCTAGGTTAGACTCAAGGCTATGTCATGTACTACTATCTGACTGTAGGCAAGTCATTTTCTCTTCTCTGGCCCTCAGTTTCCTCATCTGTAAGGTGAGGAGATTGGACTAGATGGTCTCAAAGGTCCCTTTCCAATGTAAGTTCTATGATTCTATGGATTTCCTCAGTCACCCAGCTAGTAAGTATCAGAGCTGAGAATCAAACGCAGGTCTCCTGATTCCAAACCCCGGGCTGTCCCCACTCAGCTTGACCACTCCATGGAAATCCAGCCCCCCAGCACTTGCCATGGATCTTTATTTGCTTCAGGTCTCATGGATAGGGTGGCTTGGAGCAGTTCAGTCCTCCCTCACACTTACCTTCTCTCTGTTGCTGTGGGCAGTGAGAGATCTATGGGCTGCCCCCCTCAGAGCTGTCCGGTAGTTATAGAAATTGCCCGTGGGGTCCATCTGGTGCTGCAAACGTAACCGGAAAACATCCTATTTACTCCAGCAACATGCCTGGGCGGTTGGGTTTGCTTATAGCTTAAAAAGGCAGTGCTTAAAGCACATTCAGAGACCATAGTCAGGGTGCAGGGCCTCCTTTCTCTTTACCTCAAGGATGAAAAACTTGGCTGTCTTCACTTTGGACCATGTCTTCTTTAGCCTGGAGACAGGGCTCATGTTCATGCCGGCTGGAAGAGAGACATGAGGGAGAGGAAAAGGGGGTGGCTCAGTTGCCTGCCTCCTCTTCCTCGCCCCCAGGTAAACGCCACATTTAGAGGCAGCTACTCACAGATGATTGCCATCAGTGAATTGAAATTCCCAATGTTGAAGCACTCCCGAGCCACATCGATGAAGAACTCAATCACCTGAGCTCTCTGCTTCTTTTTGGCCGGCTAAAGAAAAGCAAAGACAGGAGCACCAGCTGTCAGGAGTGTAAGACTAGATCCCTAAGGCCAATTAGAAAATGGCATCTTCTGCATACTACCTGTGTGGCCTTGGGCAAGTTATTCAGCCTTTCTGGACCTAGTTTCTAATTAGTGAAGTAGATGGAGCTCTAAAGTCTTTTCAATGAATTTGGGACTACCATGGCTCTTAACAGAGATAATGGTTCATTGAACACCGGCAGGCAAGGCTAGCAGAATCTGGACGCCTTCTGTTGTGGTCAAATTAGGCTTCTGGGGGCTCTTTGCTTATTGATGCAAAGACTCATTCCTGGGCTTGCTTATTCCTGGACCCTGAGGGGCAGAATAGGACAGGGTTGGGGGTGGGGTGGGTTTCCTCCAGTGGTGGAGCCGGTTTGCTTACCATGCAGATTTCAGTTGCCACAAGGTAACACAGACGGTTGAACCATTTCACGTAGGCTTCAAGGTTATTTGTTTTGTTCTGGTCACTGAAACAAGACTAGAATGAAGATGCATGTATTATTTTGAGATGCTGGCACTGTTTAAAACACAGAGGCAGGAGGAGTGATGATGATGGGTACACATTGAGGATGTGATCAAGGGGGACCACCTCAGGGAAGAATTTAGAGTAGATGAAATAGGGGTGGGGGAGGAGGTGATGCAGGAATAGAGAAGAAGCTGATGAACCTACAATATGCAGTCATTCGTTCAATAAGCATTTATTAAGCACCTATTTTCCATTGTGCTAGGCCCTTGAGATACAAAGACAAAAAACCAAAACAGCCCTTGACCTCAAGAAGTTTGTGTTTAATTACAGCACAATGGAAGTATCTCTAACTCTGTGCTCATTTCTATTAAACCTAAGCCAACGTGAAGGCTTGATTGCATGACTCTCAGCTCAGTTTTAACCTTAACCCTTCCTTCATCTTCGTCCCACTTCAACTCCATTTTCTCTCCTCCTCTCCCTGAGTTCCTTCCTTTCAATGTAAATGTGGGACTTCATTCCACCATTGGGACTTTCACCTTTACCCTAAATCTATTTGGGTCTTTAAATTAGAACTGTTCTGCTTAGCTCTAGAGGGCCAAATAAGAAGATGGAAGATGCAGAGGGGCATATCAGTCTGAATGTCAGGGAAACAACAAAATGAAACAACAAGAACAAAACACCTTCCTAACTCTATAAACTACCTCAAAATAGAATGGGCTGCCTTGGTAGAGGGTAATCTGGATGACCACTTGTTGGGATGCTTGTTCAGGAATGGCTTGGACTCGATTGCTACTAAGATGCATTCTAATTCTGATGTTATTATTTCACCTTATTCTTCCATGTCTTTGACTTAACAGAAGCTTGGCTTCCCTTAGAGACTGACATATCCTTGCTCCATAGGGATCGCACCTTCTCCCAGTCACACGGACTCAATTTTACCTTCACATTTCTTGTAAACTTTTGTCTTCACTCACATAACTACCATCCAGTTTAGTCCCTCTCCCTTAGATGATCAAAACCCCTCCTAATTGGCCTCCCTCTCTCAGGTCTCAGCATTCCAGTCCATCCTATACACTGCTGCCAAATTTAATTTTTCACAAATACAGATTGGACCATGTGGCTCCCCTGCTCAATCAACTCCAGTGGCTCCCTATTGCCTCTAGGACAAACATATAAACTTCTTTGTTTAGCTTTTAAAACCCTACTCAACCTAGCTTCCAGTTATCTTTCTAGCTTCAATGGATACTACTCCCCCTCCTGTACTCTGGAATCCAACTAAACGGGTTTTTTCTCTGTTCCTCACATATGATAATCCATTTCCCATTTTTGTGCCTTTTCACTAGCCATCCCACACGTCCATAATTCACTCCTTCTTTACCTCTGCCTCATAGGGATGCCCTCTTGCTTTAAGACACAGCTCAAACACTATCTTCTTTGTGAAATTTTTCTTGATCTCTGCAAATGCTAGTGTCCCCCAAACTACTTTGTATTTAATGATTTTGTATTTATTCATTTTATATTTATTTAGTATTTACACACACACACACACACACATATATATATACATATATATATATATACTTATGTTTATTTGGTATATACTTATATGTACCTATTGCCTCTGCCATTAGAATGTAAGCTTCTTGAGGGGATCCTGGTTTCTATCTTTTATTCTTAGTGTTTGTATCCCCATCACTTAGACACAGTGCCCTAGTAGGAACTTAATACTTGTTGATTGATTGGGTGTCCACACGTGAGACCACCTCCCTCACCCTAAGACCTGTGAGGTCTTGGGTTTTGACTCTGTTCATTCTCTGACCACAGCCTCATCTCACCTGCCACCTCTCCCATAGTCACTCAACCAAAATCTACTGGTTTTTTCTTTGCTGCATCTATAGGACTGATTCCTTTTTGGCCATTCCTACTGTCCTGCTAATCTTGTCTACGCTCTTTACTTGAGTTACTGAAGAGTAACTGCTCTCCTCGTGTCCAGTCTTTCCTCTTTCAGTAATGTCAGCACGCTCTTATCAGGTTACTTTTTGTCTAAAATGCCACTTTGACCAAGATTAGGAGGGGTGCAGAAAACTGGGAAATAATTTTTACAAGTGTCTCTGATAAGGGACTCATTTCTAAAATATATAGAGAACTAAGTCATATTTATAAGAATATAAGTCATTCCCCAATTGATAAATGGTCAAAGGATATGAACAGGCAATTTTCAGATGAAGAAATTAAAGCTATCTATAGTCATATGAAAAAATGCTCTAAATCACTATTGATTAGAGAAATGCAAATCAAAACAACTCTTAGGTACCACGTCATACCTGTCAGATTGGCGAACATTACAAAATAGAAAAATTATAAATGCTGGAGAAGATGTGGGAAAACTGGAACACTAATGCATTGTTGGTAGAGGTGTGAACGGATCCAACCATTCTGGGGAGCAATTTGGAGCTATGCCCAAAGGGCTATAAAAATGTGCATACCCTTTGACCCAGCAATACCACTTCTGGGATTGTATCCCAAAGAGATCATAAAAATGTGAAAAGGACCCACATATACAAAAATATATATAGCAGCTCTTTCTGTGTGGCAAAGAATTGGAAATTGAGAGGATGCCTATCAATTGGGGAATGGATGAGCAAGTTGTGGTATATGAATGTAATGGAATACTATTGTGTTATAAGAAATGAAAAACCTGGAAAGACTTGTATGGACTGATGCTGAGTGAAGTGAGCAGAACCAGGAGGACGTTATACACAGTAACAGCCATGTTGTGTGATGACTAACTTTGATAGACTTAGCCCTTCTCAGCAATGCAAGGATCTAAGACATCTCCAAAAGTCTCATGATGGAAAATGCTATCCACATCCAGAGAAAGAACTATGGAGTTTGAATGCATATCAAAACATACTATTTGCTCTTTTTTTTCTTCTGTTTTGTTTCTTCTTTCTTGTGGGTCCTCCTATTGGTTCTAATTCTTCTTTACAACATGACTAATGTGAAAATATGTTTAATAGGAATGTACATGTAGAGCCTATGCCAGATTGCACACTGTCTTAGAGAGGGAGGAAGTGGGGGGGGATTTAAAACTCAAAAGCTTATGGAAGTGAATGTTGAAAACTAAAAATAAATTAATTTTTTAAAAAATGCCACTTCATTCAAGTCTCTGCCTTATTTGGTGACTTATTCACTGAACAAACATTTACTGAGTGCCCAACTCTGTGCAAGGCTTTGTGCTACTGGATAAGAAGGATACAGTGATGATAAAGATAGAAGGCTTACCCTTAAAGAATTTACTATCATAGTGGGGAGATAAGAAAAGAACACAAATAGGTAATAAAGATAAGTCCCATTGTGATAACCACAACAGAGAGGTCCCACTGTATCTCTGTGCCAGTCAGTGGTTCTCAAAGTTTTCAAACTCAGGATCCCTTTATGCTCTTAAAGATTACTGAGGACCTCAAAGAGCTTTTGTTTTATTTCACAAATATCTATTGATACTTGCCACATTGGAAAATTAAAAATTTTATTAACTCATTTATTAACTGGTCATTTAAAAATTTTATAAACTCATTACATAGCAATAAATCCATTCTGTTATATAAATAACATATTTTTATGAAAAACGTATTTCCCCAAATCAAGAAATTAGTGTGATAAGTGGCATTGTTTATACTCATTTTTTGCAAATCTCTTTAATGCTGGCTTAGGTTTAAGAGGAATGAGCATAAAGTCAGAAGTACTTCTGGACTAGAAAACAACTGGATTCTCCTATCTCCTCCTGTAATCTGTTGCAATACATTAAGTTGAAGTATATGAAGAAAATTCAGTCTCAAATAGATACTTTGATGGAAGGAGGAAGAGTATTTTAATAGGCAAATAACAGTATAATTCTGAAGACAGTTTTGACCTAGAGGACCCTCTGAATGGGTCTCAGGAACCCTCGGGAGTCCATGAACCACACTTTGAGAACTACTGCACTATAAGAAGAGAAAGGAAAGTGAAGACAACTTCTGACTGATGAGACCAGGGAAGGTTTCATGGAGGAGAAGACTTTTGGGTTAGTCCTTGGAAAATGGGCAAAATTTCAGCAGGTGAAGACTGGGGATGGAAGGTAGGGAATAGAAAAGTGGGAGGAAGGAGAGTCCTAGAAGGAGGGAATAGAATGCAACTGATGTATTCAAGACTGTCAAATTATCCAATTTGGTTGAAGCAGTTCAGTGAATAAAGGAAGGTAGTGAGAAATAAGACTTGAAAAGTAGGTTGAGGCTAAACTGTAGAAGGCCCCCAGGTTAGAGAGTTTGGGGCTTTCTATGATATATAATCACGAGTCATTGAAGGTTACGATACTCTGCAGTATAGCAAACCTGTATCTGATTTGTATCCATATTTCCCCCCTACCAACTAGGTGGCACAGTGGTCAAGACTTGAGTTCAAATGTGACCTCAGATACTTAATAGAAGTGACCCTGGGCAAGTTACTTAATCTCTGCTGCCTCAGTTTCTTCAACTATAAAATGAGGATAATAATAGCACAACCTCTCTCCCAGGGTTGTTGTGAGGAAAAACTGAGATATTATTTGTAAAGTGCTCTTCAAACCATAAAGCACTGCCTGAATGCTAACTATTACTATTAGTACTATTGTTATTGTTAATATTGTGGTTCCCAGGTGGTGAGCTCCATAAAGGCAGAAACCATATGATTAAGAGAGATCAGAAGATCACAGATGCCATGCTTTACTCATCTTTGTATCTCCCCTGTGACCAACACAGGGTCCTGAATGTAACAGAGACTCAGGAAACATTTCTTAAGTGAATGAACAAATGAATAGTGTTAATTTTAATGTCTAGTGCTTTCAGTAGGTCTTTATCCTTTTTTTGTATTTGTATGTATCTTAAAGTAGCCACTAGAGGGCAACTGTGTACACAAACGATTTAATTTAAAGTGAAATTGATTTTCTTTTTTAAGAGCAAGTGTTAGGGTTAGGGTTAGGCTGGGGGACTAACAAGATCAATGAGACAGAGGTCTAAGGGGCCCTAAAGGTCATCTAGTCCAAACCCAACATTTTACCGATGAGGAAACTGAGGCCCAGTTTCAACACTCCGTTATAACAAGAGAATCACAGAACATCAGCCTGGAAGGGCCATTAGAGGATCTAGGTAACGCTCTCAGGAGGGAAACCGAGGCCCAGAGTGGGGAGAGGATGGTCCAAGATCCCACATCCCAGTGTCACAGTGTATGGAGAAATGGGCCTGGAGTCAGGAAGACTTGAGTTTTAATCCTACCTTGGACATGTACTAGCTGTGTGGCCCTGGGTAAGTTACATCTCAATCAGTTTTGGTTTCCTAATCTGTGAAATGGGGATAATAATAGCCCCTACGTCACGAGGTTGTTGTGAGAATCACATAAGATCACATTGGTAAAGCACTCAGCCCAGTGCCTGGCGCAGTAGGTGATTAATAAATGTTCGCTCCCTTCTCTTCCCCTTCCCTAGTGGCGGACCTAGGGATAGGACTGAAGTTAAGACGCAGATACACCATGCTACCTTTCCAGCTCAATGACTGAGCTTCTTTCTGTGCAAATGTCTTCTTTATAAGGTGTTGAAGGGGACAGGTACCGTCAGGGTTACTATGGTTGTGACTGCAGGTCTTTACACACTGACATGAGGCTCCTTCTGCTCCTAGGCCATATCTACTTCCTAGTCCTACCCCAAACAGCCTACTTTTCTCTGGGTCAGAAATCTACCCGCATAGCATTTATATTGTGCTTTGAGGTTCACAAAGCACTTAGCTACTTTACCTAATCTGATCCTCACAACAACCCCACGAGGTAAATGCTTTTATGATCCCCGTTTTATAGATGAGGCTGAGAAAGGGTCACTAACTTGTCTAGGGTTCCATGGCTAATACATGTCTGACACGGGATTCAAACTCAGGCCTTCTGACTCTTAAGTCCAATGCTCTATCCACTGTGTCACCTTGTTGCCCACCAAAATATCAGAGCTGGAAAGGTCCTCATAAATCATCTAATTCAACCCCTTTATTTTATAGATGTGAAAACTGAGACCCATGAAATAAATGAGTTGCTGACTAAAATCCAGGTGTCTTGATGCCTAGCTAGTCTGAGGTTCTTCTCATTGCATCATGCCTAGGATACAGAGTCTTGTGACACATAGACATAGAGGTCAATATGACCCTAGGATGTTTTGCTCCCATGGAACAAGTTGAAGTGATAGTTCCAAGGTCCTTTTCCTAGAACATGAGTTCTTAACCTTTTTTTTTGTACTATGTAGCCCTTTGGCAGAAACTTATGGTCCCTTTCTCAGAATAATATTATTAAATGCATAAAACAAAGTTGATAGAATTATAAAAGAAACCAATTACAGTGAAACATAATAATGATGATGATAGCTAGCATTTACATAGCCCCTACCATGTGCCAGGCACTGTGTTAAGCACTTTATAAATATTATTTCATTAGATCTTCACAACAACCCTGAGAAGCAGGTATCCCCATTTTACAGATAATGAAACTGAGGCAAACAGATGTTAAGTGACACAGTTAGTGAATGTCTGAGGCTGGATTTGAACTCAGATCTTCCTGACTCCAGACTCGACACTCTATCCATTGAGTCACCCTGATAGGTATCAAAATATTTAAAAGATAAGTTCATAGACACCGAGTTAAAAAACCCTTTCCTAAAGAAATCTACAATTCCTATGACAAGGCCTTGTACAAAATAGAGACACTAATATTATTATTTGGGGGGGGGAGGGGAGGAGAAAGAGGAAGGAAGGAATGCCCTCTTACCTTTGTGCTGTCCAAAGAATCTTTATGCACAAAAGCCTGGACAAATTCTTCAGGTCCAATGTGACTCAGCCTTTCCTGGAAAGAGAAGGAGAAGCAGAGGAGCCCCAGGGCTCAGGACTGATAGAGCCAGGGTCACCGATGCTGACACCACTGTCGGACTCAGAAATCTTTGTGCAGGCCATGTGCCCCGCACCACTGTCCTCTCAACTTCCTGTGTCCAGTCTGATCAATCTGGAAACAGGCATTAGGGAAAGCCTCTCATTTACCCTCATGATCTGCCAAGATTAGCCTGGGCCTCATTTACCGTATGCTGGGGGTGGGCGTAGGGCTGGGAAGGAGCAGCCTGTGCTCCCAGGCCAGCTGCCTGCCCACATTTGCACCACCCTGCTGCCCAGACAGACACAGACAGGTTTCTGAGCTGACCAAGCCAGTGACCACTTTAGCAAATCTGTTACTTCATCATCATCATTATCAACAACCACAGATTTATTTTTATAGAGCATTTATATCATATATAATATATATTTATAATTTCTATTTATAGAGCATTTTACATTGTAGTGGAGGTTGAATGAACTAGGGGAGGAGCACTGCAGAGGTTGAGATGGCCTACAGCAGATATGTTAAATATGCTGCCCCAAGGCTCCTGAGTGCAACCAAACCAGATAAAAATATAATTGGGAAATAGTTAGCAATATAAATTTTAAAATACAGTAAAACATAGGGAACATTACATTTTAAAACTAAGTTGGTATGTGACCAGCAGGGATCCTTATGTACAGATAGGTGGCTGCTTTTCTATTTGAGTTCTGACATCACTGGCTTAGAGCGACCACTCCGGGATGGCCCAACTAGATCAGTTCAACTGCCACGACACATATATTATCTCATTTGAGCCTCATAACAATCTTGTGCGGTAGGTACCTTTTGTGGTAACTCCAGGTATTATTAACCCCATTTTACAGATTAAGAAAATTATGCTCATTCGATTCAATCAATAAACATTTATTTGTGGTTGTTGTTAAGTCATGTCCTACTCTTTGTGATCCCAACTGGGGTTTTCTTGGTAAAGACACTATAGTGGTTTTGCCATTTCTTTCTCTAGCTCATTTTATAGTTGAGGAAATTGAGGCAAACAAGGTTAAATAACTTGCCCGAAGTCACACAACTAGTAACTGCCTGAGGCCGGATTTGAACTCAGGTCTTTCTGACTCCAGGCCTGACATTCTATCTACTGGGTCACCTAGCTACCTTGAAATATTTATTAAGCACCTACTATATGCCAGGCACTGTGCTAAGTGCTGGGGATGCAAACAGAGGCAAAAGATAGTGCCTTCCCTCAAGGAGCTTTCAATCTAATGGGGGAGACAACCTGCAAACAAATAACACAAAGCAAGCCACATATAGGATAAATAGGAAATTATTAAAATAGGAAAAGCACTGGAATTAAGAGGGGTTGGGGAAGGCTTCCTGTAGAAGGTGGGATTTTAGTTGGGACTTAGAGGAAGCCAGGGAGGTGAGAGTGGAGGAAAGAGAGCATTCTCGGTATGAGGAACAGCCAGAGAGAATGTCTTGAGCCAAGACGGAACAAGCAGGAGGCCGGTGTCACTGAACCAAAGAGCGTGAGTCAGGGAGCAAAGGACAAGAAGACAGGAAAGGTAGAAGGTGCTAGGGTATGAAGGGCTTTGAATGCCAAACAGAGCATTTTGTATTTGCTCCTGGAGGTGATAGGAAGCCTACTGAATAAGGAAGAGTGAGGTTAAGGGACTTGCCCCACCGTCACCCAACTAGAAAGTATTGGGAGAGAGATTCAGATACCGGCCTCCCTGCCTGAGCCTGAGTCCTCTTCAGTATCACACACTACCCCTTTCTTGCCTCTACAGACATATACCTTATCACACATACACACCTACAATTTGCCCTATAGGCCTTTTGTGGCAGATGCAGTGTTTAATTTGGCCAGTATGACAGAGGGCCTTTGAGATACTAATAAACCTCCACACTTTACTCTGCTGTCAAATAAGACAATGATCACCAAGTGCCCTGTAATGGCCAGAGACTTGAGAAAGTGAACCAGTGTCACCGTGGCCCCCCCAAGAAGGGCTCTGCTCTGGGAGGGACACCTGTCAACATGCCGGTTAGCTGAATAAAAATGGCATTCAACAAGCTCTCTTTCCCAAACTGCATTGGTTCATCATTGGAGGGTTAGGGTGTGCACACATATGTAAGTGTACATGTGAGTGAGTGTGTGTGTGTGTGTGAGAGAGACAGAGACAGAGAGACAGAGAGAGACAGAGAGGGACAGAGAGGGACAGAGAGAAGGGATAGAGAGAGAGAGAAGGAAGGGAGGAAAAAAGAGGGAGAGAGAGAGAAGGAGAGGAAAGAGAGAAGGAAAAAGAGGGAAAAAAGAGAGGGAGAAGAGAGAGAGAGACAGAGAGACAGAGAGAGAAGAGATAATTCCTTTGCACAGATAACTGGGCAGACACATGAAATAGTGACCAGGTCAGATTTGGAGTTAGGAAAATCTGCATTTAAATCCTACCTCTGACACCAGTGTGACTGTGGACAAGTTACTCCCCTACTCCCACTCCAGCCTCAGTTTCCTCATCTATAAAATAGGGACAATAGTACCTTTAGTACCCACCTCACAGGGTTTCGAAGTTGAAATGACACAGTGCATGCATGTAAAGCATGTTGTGAAGTTTAAATTCCTTTATACATGACAATTTTTCCTCTCATTATTAATACATCTTGACTCCTAATCTTGGGGAGGGGGACAAAGAACTGATACTAGATGGAGTAACTGAATGGTTTTTCCAGCATGCGTTTTTGCAGATGCCTCTAGGAAGAGAAATGCCCCAGTTGGTGTGATTCTGGGCTTCCAGAAACCTCCGCTCTGGCTTGGTGGGCACATTTGCAGAACTCCAAACCCCACAGAGGCTGAGCACTGGAATACTTACTGCCTATGGGGAAGGAGACCTCAGGAGGAAACACTCTCTTCTCCCCTATAAGGAGTATAGTAACAGCATTTACAGAAATACTGGGGGGCTCAAGACATGTCAGAGTTTAAAACTTAAGACTGAACATAAGCAATCAGCCTGTTCAAAGCCAGGATTCTGCAGGATTCTACTGTTGGTCTCTGAAAGAAGAGGAATCTGCTATGAGTGACGTCTCCTCTGGAAGAACCTGCTATCCATTCCATTCCCTTCTTCTGGACGTATAGAGAGGGCTACAGTTGGAAGGAATCTCAAGGGTCTAAATGAGACAACACATGTACTGCTCTTTTTAAACCTTAGAGTGTTCTATAAATGCTAGCTATTGTCATCTAGTCCAACTCTTTCATTTTACAGAGAAGGAAACTGAGTCCTAGAGAAGGAAAGGGATTTATTCAGGTTCACACACCTAGGGAATGGCAGGCCTGGGGCTGGAAACCTGATTGCTTGGAGGTTCAACGAGCCCTTTTGTATCTCTGGTGCAAAATGGATCAAAGGCTAAATTTCTAGAATTGCTACGTAAAGAAATGAGGTGGGACCTATAGTATCTCTTCCACCTTTCTGAAATGAAAATTAGGGGCAGCTAGGTGGCGCAGTGGATAGAGCACTAGCCCTGGTTTCAGGAGGACCTGAGTTCAAATCCAACCTCAGACACATAACACTTACTAGCTGTGTGACCCTGGGCAAGTCACTTAATCCCATTGCCTCGGGGGAAAAAAAAGAGAAAAAAATGAAATGAAAATTAGACTTTGGAGACAATTCCATTACTTGTTGGTAGGTTCAGATTTATTATTATTATTAATAACTGGTACCTAGCATTTCTACTGCACTTGAAGGTTTGCAAAATGCTTTAATATGCTCTCTCATTTGATTCTCACAACAACCCTGAGGTAGAGTCTGTCATTAGCCTGATTTTGTAGATGAGGTAACTGAGGCTTAGAGTGGTTTAGTGACTTGCTCAAGGTCGTAGCTGAACTCAAGTTTTCTTCACTCCACTGCTCTTCACTCTTCATTTCAACTAGACCAGGGGGAACAAATCCTTTTATTAAGGGCATTTGTTCTGTGAAGTTTGGATGAAATCAAAAGGCTGCACTTAAGGACCTAGAGGGTCATATGTGACCTCGAGGTCGAAGGTTCCCTACCCCTAAACTAGACCTCCTAGTTGTGCCTCAAACTCCACCATTCTGCAGAAACTGAAAAGAGCAATGATTCCACACCCAAGCTGCAGGAAGGGTATATATCTCCCCACCCAGACAGAAAATAATTTCTGGAGCTCGTTGCAAACCTTGTGAAAAACTCCCAGTGGGCCAGGGATTCCACTTACCAGTTCTACATGGGTCAGTTGCTGGGCCAGAGTGTAAGGGTCACTGCAGACGCTCAGGATCTCTCGCTGAATTGAGGGAGGAGGCTTCGTCTTAAAAGAGACAAGCTTATCTGAAACAGTGGCATTGATTTTGACTAGACCTTCCTGTCCGTGGCTAAGCGTGGCAAGCTTCTGATTCAGTGCCTGCAGGAGTTGATTCATCCTTTTCCAGTAAGCCTGAAGGAAGGGAAGAGAAAGAGAGAGGGGAAAGGGAATAGGGAGAGGGGGGAAAAGGGAAGGGATAAAAAGAATGAGAAAGGGGAGAGGAAGAGAAGGAAGAAGTAGAGAAGAGAAAAGGGGAAAACAAGAGATGAAGAAACATACTTCGGCAATCATAGGATTACAGAATTTTAAAGCTGGAAGGGACCCCGGGGATGATCAGATACTTGAGACAATTTTCTAGCCCTAGAACATTCCTAACTTAGCTCGGAGTCTATCTTCAGCAAAATTGTGGCACAGCAGAAAGTGCATGATACTTAGAGTCCCAAGACCTGATTATTGTGCTAATAGAGGAAACCGAAAGACATCTCGTGGAAATGGGTGCAGAGAATTGGAGGATTCAGAGCATCCCTGAACAAAAATCTCTTAAGGAGGAAAGGAGACAATTTTCATCCTGGTGAATTGAAAGCTGTAAGTCCTTTGATTTAAAAAAAAAATGAAACCTAGATACTGACGAGTCCAAAGCCCAAACCACAGCACTGGAATTTGTTTTGTAATGTCTAAGCAGAGGTGTCAAACCCATGGTCCCAGGTCACATGCAGTCCCCAACACTCCTGAATGAGAAGCCCCAACCAGGTTAAAATGTAACCTAGAAATATTAACAAAATAAATGAAAAGCCAATAAAACATAGACAATGTTACCTTTTAAAACTAAGTTAATATACAGTCATGACCCCTCCTTTCTCTTTGAGTTTGACAAAACTGGTCTAAGGCATCTGTTTTTCTTATCACCAGTTTTTCAATGTGCTGGCTTTTTTTTTGGCGACATCATGGACAGCTGGGAGCTCACAGGCAATAAGCAGACAGTCTCGAGCAGGTATCCAAGAGTCTGCGGCTCCCGCATCCTCCTCTCTGTTAGCCCCACGTTGCCATGTGGTCAATCAGCCATGGGAATTGCTTCCCCTCAGCATTTCTTTGAGGTTTCCAGGGAGGCTTGCAATTCCCCCAGAAAAGAGGCAAAAAAAGGGTCTTGAGGTCGAGCTTCAATCCAGAAGCCCAACATGTAAGCCTTTTTTATTCACTGTCACCATTGTTACCAGGGAATGGCAGAGTGCTGAGAACAGTTTATCTTCATCAGGCAGCTGCCTGCCCCTGGGCCCCTAAAGAACTCCAGAGCAAGACCAGGACTCATTCATTCATTCACTCATTCATTCATCCCTTAGATGCTTCCTGGTCACCTGCTCGGTGCAGGACCCTGTGCTGGGCTGTGCTATGGAGAACACAGAGAGGAAGAGAAGGCAGCGTATGGAGCTCACAGACCAGTGAGGAGATGACAGTCATTTGTTCAACATCCAGCAAACACAAAGGAGCCAGTGCAAGGTGCTGGGAATGCAAAGATATGTAAGACATGGTTCTGGGCCTCCAGGAGCTCAATCAGGAAAATAAACGTGATAAATAAATGTGAAGATGTAAAAAAATCAACGTAAGACAAATCAGAATATAAAGAGTGAATAAGGAGAGTGCGGGACAGTGGACATAGGGGGTCAGCAAAGACCCAGGTTCAAGACCCACCTCTGCCATGCACTAGCTCTGTGACCCTGGCCAAGTCACTTACCATCTCAGTGCCCCAAGGCAACTGGAAGTTCTACTGAGTTGCCACCCTGCATAGTGAAGGGTATTTCTTTACTAGAAGCTCCCTATAATGATGTGATAATCACAGAACTGGGCCAAAAATAAAGGACATAAAGAGATTTTAAAGTGTAGTTAAATCAACTGAGGGTTGTACAGGCCAGTGGTATCGAATTCAAATAGGAAGAGATCCCTGCTAGCAGCATCCTGAGTTAGAAAACCATAAATTAACATTATCTATATTGTATTGCAACAGAAAGAGCTGAGTTCAAATCTGACCTCAGACACTAGCTGTGTGACCCTGGGCAAGTCACTTAACCTCTGTTTACCTAAATCCACTGGAGAAGGAAATGACAAACCACTCCATGACCTTTGCCAAGAAAATTCCATGGACAGCATGTTTGTGCTATTGTTCATGAGATCATAAAGAGCCGGACGTGATTGAACAACTGAACAATAGTAAATTGCATTTGTATTTATTTTGTAAATATTTCCCAGTAACATTTTAATCTGATTTGGGATGCATTTGGGAGTTTTGTGGGCTTCTGGTCTAGGCCCTTCAAGGCCTTAATGGCCATTTTAGGATCTGTGAGGTTTGCTACTTTCACTTTTGTGTACCTTTGTGTAGAAGGTGATTTTCATAGCTGATGACATTTGGCTGAGGCTCAGGGAACCTTGACAAAGGAAGGGACACTTGGAAGGATTGAAAAGGTATCCACAAGCTGAAATAGAGGTGGTATTTCAAAGTGTAAGGCACAGCACAAGCAAAGATATGGAGGTAGGGGAAGAGGAGACAAGTTTAGGTAGAGGAAAGCATAGGTAGAAGGGAAAGCTTGAAAGGCTGGGTGGCACCAATTAGTCAATCAGCAAGCATTCATTAAGAGCTTACTGTGGACCAAGCACTGTGCTAAGTGCTGGGAATACAGATACAAGCATAATAAAATTGTCCCTACCCTCAATGAGCTTACAATCTAATGTGGAAGAAAACACATAAAAGGAAGCTGAAAAGGGAGAGCAACCTGGTGGGAAATGAAGGGATGGTTGGTAGGAATACCCTCCATTTAGGAGGTTCTGGTAGGAGCTGTAATGGCGGAGAGTAAAGGAGGGTCTTGGAGGCAGAGGGTGCTTCAGTTGTGGGAGGTCTAGGGTTGAAGTGATCTAGTATGAAGCGGCTGTAGTACCAGGCTGCGAGAGGCTTTGAATGTCTAGAGGATGAGGAGCTTGGTCTTTATTCACAAGGCAATGGAGAACTATTCAATGTTTTTGAGCAGGAATGTGACATTTTCCAGCCTGGCCGAATCAGCACCCAGAAAACTAAGCTACAAATGCAGCGTAATAGTGATAGGAAAGGAAATTGGCAAAGAAGACAAAAAGATGAGATAGTCAATGTCGGAAGGGCTGAGAGAAGACAATTCCATTAGTAAGTTGCAGATGGAGCTGTGAATCAGTACAACTATTTTGGAAAATAATTTGGAATTGTTCGGGTAAAGTGAATAAAATGTCCATATCCTATGACCCAGAGATTCCAGTAGGAGGTTCATGCCCCAAGGAATTCATTGATAAGGAGAAAGTCCCCATATATACCAAAATATTTATAGCAACACAATTTGGGATAGCAAGAATTGGAAACTAAGTAGATGCCCATTGATTGGGAATGACTAAACAAATTGTGTTACATGAAGGTAATGGAATATGACTGTGCATGACAAATATGTTGAATACAGAGAAGGATGGAAAGAGCTACATTAAAATATATACAATAATTACATCAATGTAAATGGAAAGAACAAGCACACACACAAAAAAAATCAAAAGTGAATTAATTGCAAATGACAAAGAACAAGCACGGCTTGAAAGAAGAGATAGAAGACATCTCGCACTCCACCCCTCTGCACCAACGGGAGGTCCATGAGTGTAGACTTTTTCTATGTATTAATTACTTATGCTGGGTTTTAAAAAACCACTTCTTATTTTCTTTCAAAATATTATTTGTTATATAGGATGGCTCTCTGAAAGGGGGAGGGGAAGTACACTGGAGAAAATTATGGTGAAATAAAAAAAAGACAACAATTAACATTGAATTTTTTTTTTTTTTGGTAATAGCAATAAGGCACAGATAGAGAACTGTGAGCAAAGTGCTATGGGGTCTCAGAGAAGACAGATTTCTTCAAGCTGAGAGGGTCAGAAAGGAATTAATTGAGGCTAATAGCCAAGACTGAGAGCTTCATTCAGAGCTGCATACAGCCCAAGCTCACACTAATATAGAGCCATAACTAGTACAAGGTGATTGGGGTTTTGGCCACAATTGCTGAAATGGATGGATGCTTTCTCCCCACAGTGACCATTGTCCCCATGTCTTGCCTTGCCTCATAATCCTCTACTATATAATGCCACTGTCCCCAAGGTACTACCCTTCTCCTAGGACCCACTTTCCCTACTAATTCCCACGTGGGTATAGACCAGAATCTCTGGGGAACAGGCTACCTTATCTCTGTACTTTCTATCACTGTGGCTGTACCACTGTCACCCACCCCATCTCCCCGTCCCAACCAAATCTGCTCCAGGAACAATAATTCCTGGTGATGACTTTATACTAGTCAAAGGCTTCAAAGATATGGTCATGTGTTGGTTAGTTTAACTGAACTATTTATCTCCTTTTTTTATTCGTTATCAGGGAAGGCTGAGATGGGAGGGATACAGTGGAAAATGTAGTGATGTAAAACAAAAGATATCAATAACATTTAAGAGGTCGTTCAACCGGCCTGGGAAAGGGCAATGATGCTGTTCCTCAGCCCCAGCCCCGTGATGCTGCCAGTGAGGGCACTAGGGCTGCTCTAGGTCTTGACTTCATTCTGTTCTAGGGGGTTTGCTCCTTCCACCGTTTCCTACAGATGATGTTTTTCACAGATGAACAGAGTGCTGAGAAGGAACTGCTTAAATTGGCACTGTTTTAATTACAGTACACGCAAATGACTGTAAATCTCTAAAACACATACACACACACACACACACACACACGACTACAGCATCTTCACAACACCCACGATATCGCTTTAATTATCCTTCCAGCTTTCTAAAGAGGGGAATGGAGCCCTGCCTATAATTACTCATGATTCCGTAAGAGGCAGCTGTGGCTTGGGGAGAATTCCAAAGCAGCAGCCCCAGGAGCAGGGGGGAGGCAGGGAGGAAGGGGGATCCGGTCGCTTCTCCTGCACCGTCACATTTCTCGGGCTGCTCTTTCGCTTCTCCCTCGAGGGCTGGGAGAGAAATAGTGTGTCTCAGTGTTCCGGGTCTCCCGCTGATTCTGCCTTCTGCCAAGTGCTCCCCACTCCCAGCTAAGCCACGGTGGTCCCTGCGATGTCCTTCATCTTGAAGTTTGAGCCACAGAG